ATGTATTTCCAAACCTCGTTAATTTCTTCTTCCGCCTTCTTAGTCTGGTCTTTCTTGAGGTGCTCATACAGAGATGGGTTGGCAAGGTGTAACTCTGTAAGTCGCTTATCGAGATCATTACTGGTAACAAAAAATTCACCGCCTTTATCACTAGCTGAGAATCTTATCATCTTATCATCTTTAAGTTTAACAAGTTCGGAGAGTGTGGTCCTTTGCTCGGTGTTGAGATTTTGTTTAACTGTTCGTTTCTTGTGCTTCTGAATACGTTCATGCATTTCGTGCTTTAAAGCCTTCAAGGTGATATCTAACTGACCTGAGACGCATTCTATAGGTGCTTTTTGTTAGGCTTATCAAATGGACTGCTATTTATGATATCAAGAAGATTATCTTCGGAATTACTTTCGACGTTCTCACTGTTGTTAGCATTCATAAATTCTTTCCATCGTAACTTATAAGCCAGTTTTCCTAACTCTACATTGATATTGAATTCATCATGTTTAGTGATTCTAGAAATTGGGCCGAAATTTGTTCCAAGTTCTCGAATCATTAAACATGATCAATTCAATATCAATGTAGAGTTAGGAAAACTGGCTTATAAGTTACGTTGGAAAGAAATTATGAATGCTAACAACAATGAGAACGTCGAAAGTAATTCCGAAGATAATCTTCTTGATATCATAAATAGCAGTCCATTTGATAAGCCTAACAAGAAAGCATCTATAGAATGCGTCTCAGGTCAGTTAGATATCACCTTGAAGGCTTTAAAGCACGAAATGCATGAACTTATTCAGAAGCACAAGAAACGAACAGTTAAACAAAATCTCAACACCGACCAAAGGAACACACTCTCCGAACATGTTAAACTTAAAGATGATAAGATGATAAGATTCTCAGCTAGTGATAAAGGCGGTGAATTTTTTGTTACCAGTAATGATCTCGATAAGCGACTTACAGAGTTACACCTTGCCAACCCATCTCTGTATGAGCACCTCAAGAAAGACCAGACTAAGAAGGCGGAAGAAGAAATTAACGAGGTTTGGAAATACATTTACCTGAAAAACAAGATTGATCAAAAGTCAGCTGAACGTCTTGTTTCGACACATAGTGTATGTCCAGTTATCTACCTGCTTACAAAGACCCACAAATTTAAATCGGTATCGTTGAGAGATCTTGACGCTGAAGATATCAAGGTTCGTCCTATCATTTTGGGATGTGAATGCCTTGCTGATAAAATCTCGTAGTTGATTCACAAGATTTGTGTTCCACTCCTGAAGTAGGTGAAAGCCCATTTAACCAACACCGGTGATCTACTGGCAAAGCTTCGAAGCCTAAAGCAAGATGATTTGAAAAATAAAATCCTTTTCAGCCTTGATGTGGTTTCTTTATACCCGAGCGTAGACAACATGGTAGCTGTGGATACCCTTCGCGATTACCTGTATACCAACACAGAAGAGACCTACAGTTGTATGGCATTCCTATTCCAGATATTGTGCTACTGATCAAGATTGTGCTAAGCATAAGTTGTTTTTCCTGTAGTGGTACATACTTCAAGCAACTACGAGGATTGGAAATGGGGAATCGGTTGGCACCTATACTGGCCATCCTTTACATGGACAGAATAGAAAATCAAGCTATAGATGCAGATACGAGTCTCTCCACCAAACCCTACAACCGGTATATCGACGATTGCATTACAACAGCACAGGATAACAACGAAGGGAGATCGATACAGGGAATCCTGAATGCACAAGACCCTTCAATTAAATTTGAGATCGAGTTGCCGGACGAAGAGGGCTACCTACTATTTCTCAACACCAAAGACCGAGTAAATCCCGATGGCACTTTGGACACGGCATGGTACACGAAACAAGCAAACAAAGGAATAATGATTCATGCATCATCTCACCATCCGAAATCAATGAAGGTTGGAGCTATTCAACACACACTTAAAACGATTACGCTGATTTCTTCTGATAATAATCTTAAAGCAACAGCTGAGAGCGAATTCAAAATTCGCACCATCCGAAAGGGCTATGCAGCAGAAACCATCACAACTGGCAACCTAAGGACACGCAAAACAAAGAAATCATCAAATACACCAAATCCAGACGCTTGCTTGGTAATCCTGTTTATTTCGGAAGAATTTACCGCCGACGTCAGGAAGAACTATCAAGAAAAAAAGTATAAACATCAGAGTGATACAGCGCCCGGGAAAGTCCCTTAGAAGCATGCTTGTCCAATTCCGTCCGTATGCTAGCCATTGCCGAGCTGGTCCGAAATGTAAGTTTTGCCAAGTTTGCGGCAAGAAGAATATGTGCTTCCTGAAGGATTTGGTCTCATGGCCAGAAATTCAAGACATGCGCCCGCAATATATCTCAGCGGTTTTTCTTATGAAAAGTTATTCATACCTAACAAACGCAAGTTTCAACTAAAAAAATACATTTTGCTTTGTTTTTTGTTTAACTAAAGCAGAAAAATAGATATATTATTGGAATTGTCGGTCTTTTACATACCTTTCACTGATTATGATGGGATATAAAGTGATGCGCATGGTAAACGACTCAAATATTTTGTGTATACATCGCTATCCCTCAGTGTAAACCCCACTGGAAGAAAGCCTGGTTCCTTAGCTTCTTGTTGATATCAAACATGGACGACAATTCATGAAACATCGTTCTTCTTGCAATGTTTTACGGCCTATGGACAGGGTATTTATGGGTAAAATATCAACATTTTGTCCCGTAAATTGGAACAAGTTAAAAATTCGTATCACTATGACATTATGCAGACAAGCAGGGGACAACATATATTTTACGACGCGAAGTCTGCAAATTTCATGAAGGGTTCGAGAATATATGCGGCCAGAGCAAAATGTACGTTTTCAACAATTTTCTCAAGTTTTACTATACTTTATTATACGCCGATGTACTATTAAGTGAACTTGATTAATGGAACAACTATAAGATTTCGATGCGAAACTTTTCTGTTTTACGGTCCAGATATAGTTTATATTATTGCGAAGTCTGCAAATGACATAGCTATTATCAAACAAGTCTAAATTAAAAAAACCCGCGCCACTCCTAATAATTTATACATAACAAATCCGCCATTTTGTTTGTCAAACTTCGCACATGCTCAGAATCCATGTCCGCAATTTCTTGCCATGACTCCATAAAGTGCGGTTTATGTGACAAGATCCATGGAATTTACGTGGGGGAAACCAGCCGACCATTCGCTGTGAGGTTCAATGAACATCTTCGCTCTGCAAGGAATCCCGATGCGAAATCTTACCATCAAATGGCATTCTCGAAGCATTACAAACAGTTACACCCGGGTCAGTCGCCTATAAGCTTATTCCATCTATGTTGAAGAAAACGAAAGGAACATTGGAAAGAAAGATGACGGAGGCATTTTACATTGAAAGAATGCAACCTGACCTGAACTCAGATGATGAGCTGCAGGAAGTTAAAGGATTTTGTATATAGTTTAATTTAATTACAGACGCAGGCACGGACACGAAATCTTTAACGCTCTCACGGACACGCAATGAACAAAAATTAAGCGCGCGCACGGACACGAGTTAGTTTGAAGCCCACGTCAGCTATTATACGCAATCCAACGGATTTTTTCTAAATTTGTAATTGTTTTTAAAGTTTTATATCTTTAGTTACTTTTAACCTGAAGATGGAGTTATACTCCGAAACGTAGTTATTAAAATAATCTTTTTGTACAAAGCCTATATGGTCTAATTATTCAAACACAGAATTACTAAAATGCGGCTTAGAGAAAGTTCCGTCATACAAGATTTATAGTTTTATCAATTTATTTAGTTTTAAACGAAACAAATGAAGCGATATTAGGCCGTATTGGCATATTTTGGAGCTCAAATGTCGCTCAGTACTCTCCCACACTTAACACTTTGATTATCATTCAAGTCCTTTATTTAAATATCTTCATGATGAATCGAAGTAGTTAAAGTGCCTCCTTAGGGTTTTATCCATAGAAATAATAGACATAGAATGCGTGCTCCTATCTTTTCTCAGTAAAAAATTTGTCTCCACAAAATGGCGCATTGAAAAGGGCATTTTGGTTGGTCCCAGACTCCTGAGGCAGGGAATTTCGCGCGGTTGCACGGAGTGCGAATTATTTTTTCAACTGAAAAATTTGCAAAAAATTTTATATCGGGACTTAAAATGGGAAAAAAGTTTGGTAAACTAAGGAAAAGTGTCTAAAAACCCATTCCAGTGGGTTTTTTTACGAAAAGCAAATAGTTCTGAATCGTTTAAAAATAAATTTTCAACGTTATGTTGTTGTGCAAGCCAAAACAAAACACAAAAGATCAAGACAAACTCAATAGGTATGTTCTACAAATATTTCAACTCTTAGTTACAATATAAATGGAGTTCAATAATCTTTTTATTAATTTTAAACTTACACAATTATATTTCATATTTTTCTACGTTGCTTGAGCTTGAGGCAACGCTTTTGAAAGCATGGTTTTCGACGATTATTTTAAGGCAATTTTACAGTTTATCGACAACTATAAAATGTTTCAAGAACATGAAAACACTTCGTTTACATTGCAGAAAAACGAAACCCGACGAAGAAAGAACTGTAATTTTGTAATCTTATAAGATATTAGCAAAACAGTTACGTTTAGAGCATGCAAAAATGTTTTGAGTAAATTATACTTTCGCGAAACTACTTTGCTTTTAAAAGGCTGCACGATTTTCACTGTTTTCATAGTGTTTTGTATTAAACTGCACATTTGCTTTGACAGTTTGTGCCTTCAAGGAACTCAAAATCTATCCCCAAGCTACAAATTAGACAACAAGACAAAACGTTTTGACGATGAAAACGTAGTTTTAGCTTTGTTTATACTTTGTAGTTTGCACTCCTGGCCAAAATTCAAAATGGCGCATTCAAAAGGGCACGCACCTGAAAAAGTGGAGACATGATTCGTCAACAGCACGCATTCTATGTCTATTATTTCTATGGTTTTATCTCCCCGGGGGTTATGTTCTTCGTATATACTGTATGTAAAATATCGCGAGTAACTCGTGTGGCTTCAAAATAACGAGAAAATAGTAAGCCAAATCTTCCTTGGCTTACTAAGATAATCGAGTTACACTGAATTCGCAAACGAGATCATCTCAAATCTCTTGCCATAAAAGGTAAATCGGAAAACTATTGGAATGCATACAGAATGTCCCAAAATCGATAACAAATGCACTGTGAGAAGCGAAATCAGCATATTACAAAGCACAGTTCGAAAGTGTGAAACATGACCCTAAAGAAGCTTGGAAAACTGCGGATAAAATCTTAAACCTGAAACATGAATGCCCCGAAATAAAGTATATCAACTCCCAGAGCAGACAAATTTCTAATCCAATTGAGTTAGCCGAATGTTTTAATAATTATTTCACTGACATCGGTCCTAATATTGCCAAAACTATTGACTGTTGATTACATACCAATGAGAACAACAAGTAGGAGCTTCAAATTTCAAATAGCTTCTCAAGCCAAAATACATAGATTACTTTATTCTCTAAAACGCCGTATGTCTACTGAAATTGACAAAATACATGCAAAAATTATTTGAACCGCTGTTCTTATGATTGCAAAGTGAATCCTGGTATAAATGAATAATAAAATTAAAGCATAATGAAATATATTTAATGAATATATTTTGACATTAGCTTCAAAAACAACAAAATGCAGCCCACGTATATGAGCTAAGGAAAGACAAGGCCTCCCTGCTATCATGTCTCCCTTTCCATGCAGTAAACGACATTTTTGTCCATCCAGTAAAGGTCGCTTTGTATAAAATATAAAAACAATACAGCCGAAAAAAGGATTAGTTCAGGTAAGTGTTTTTTTTTATATTTCCTTTGAGCCGAACCTTATCCCCGAGCGAACAGCATCGTTTCGGGCGTACTTCAGGGCGAGTTACAAACTCCGCTCGTCTATTTCCATCCGGAGAAAGGATGAACGAAATCTCAAGTTCATCAATAAATCGCGGATACGTGGCTAAGTTTCATCGTGTTATCGGTGTTAAGGGTGGAGCACCTCACTGATCTCAAAAGTATGGCGAATTTCAGGAGTGGAAAAAGAGGAAGTTGCCGCGAAAAAAGTAAAAACCGTAAAATATCGTCATTGTGACGAGCAGGCAAACAGTATACTGTATGTTTTTGTTTCATAACAAATGATCAGGGGCAATAGATCGCTGGAAATCGTAAAGCCTAAGCTAACTTTGTTTCAAATATTATATATAATTCATTGTTTGCTTTGTGATTGCTAGTTTAAAAACTGATGTTGAATATAATGAAAAAATACAGTGTATAATTTAAGCGTATTTTGATTAATTATCTTTTTACTATAAGAACATTATTAATAAATAGGGAAGAAAGCAAACTAAGTTATTTTCATGCAATAATTTGAAGTCACTTTAAACGTTTAGCAATGCTGTCTGGTTGAATTTTAGCTTACAGTAAATTGAAGCTTATATTGCTTATAATAACCTACTTAACATATTAATTTTGTATGTAAAAGTGATCTCTTTGGAGGGTGTTTTCAATTTTAAAAGTGAAAAGAACAAAACGCTCGTGTTATAATGGCAACAACTTTAAATATGCTTGTGATGTTACTCTGAGTGTGTATCCACATCGGGCAGGCTTGAAAAATATGCCTGGCCACGTTGGGATTCGAACCTACGACCTTTGGAATACTAGCCCAATGCTCTGCCAACTGAGCTACGCGGTCAGGTCGATTCGAGTATTCGATATTTCGGAGCTGAGTCTAGTTCCTTCGATATCAGTGTAATCTAATAATCATGATACTTGATGTGTTGGTGTAGTGTACGTACTCAGGTGAATATAATGTTTGTGATGTTACTCTGAGTGTGTATCCACACCGGGCAGGCTTGAAAAATATGCCTGGCCACGGTGGGCTTCGAACCTACGACCTTTGGAATACTAGCCCCAACACAGCAAGTATCATGATTATTAGATTATACTGATATCGAAGGAGCTAGACTCAGTTCCGAAATATCGCATACTCGAACCGTCCTGACCGCGTAGCTCAGTTGGGAGAGCTTGGGCGAGTATTCGAAAGTCGTAGGTTCGAATCCCACCGTGGGCAGCCATATTTTTCAAGCCTGCCCGGTGTGGATATACACTCAGAGTAACATCACAAGCATCTTATTTACCTGAGTACACTACACCA